AAAATCCAAAAACTTTTTTTTTTTTGTTTAACTGAAAAAAGGCAGAGAATTGAGGAACTTTAGCTGGTACAAGGTCACAAAGCGTTTTGAAGAATAAAGCTGTTTGCTATTCTATTAATATTGCAGCTTAGAAAATTAGAATACAGTTTTTAACTAATTAAGATAATAGATACAGCAGAGACAATATTGTCTTTGGTGACTTTATACTGTACAAATGTTAGGATTAAAATAGATATTTTCGGTTAAAAAAAAAACAACTAGAATAGAATACAGAACGGATATGTGCTAGAAGCTAGTCTTAATGTTTTTTAGGTTTGCGTTACTTCCTAAAAAGTAAGCAGTGCGTGAATAGAAACAGGATCAGTAGTATTCATCTCTATGGGAAATCCATGTTGCCTGATCTGGGGAAATTAGAAGCTACTATTGAAGGGTTTTCAACAAACCAGGAAAATTATGTTAAATCACCACGTATGAGAAGAAAATAAACCACTCATGTTTACAGTTAGAGTAGCCTGGCTATCCTAGACTACATATCAGAATTCAATGTTAATGTCAACTTTATTTGTATAGCACATTTACATGAACACCAGCTTCCGAAAGTGGCTTCAAATTCACAAAAAAAAAAAACAAAAAAAATACAGAATTAACTACTAGTGACATGTAGTATGGGAACATTCCATTCAATTTTCTCGTAGAAAAGGTGTGGTTTATGACTGACGCTTAGCCACTTAATGTCTTAAATGTATCTCCTATTCCTTGAACAAATGTGCGAATTGTTCAGTTTTACCCAATAACGTATATTCATAGGTCCCAATTTCGTTTGTCGCCTTTCACGCGTGAATCACACGAGACTCTTGTGATTCACCGTCTTTTATTTCCTTCCCCCCGAGTGACGCTGCATATGTCCAAAAACAACCATCAGGTGGCACTTTGAGCAGGGGTTACATTGGCGTCTCAACGATCTTTCTTCTTGCTTCACCAGACAACTATCTGTGGCTTTAAGCCTAGCGGTACTGTACATCGACTGATTATATCCGTGCGCCTATGAGTTCTGCCACGCGCACATCGACAATCGGTTAAAAGGGCAACCCTTGTAGCAGGCCAGTCTCTGGAATAACCCGCAGACATTAAAAACTACTGCATATTACGTAAACTTTTGTGCATCACTGGGTGATCTTTCAAAAGAGAGAATATCGTTATGAAAAGAGAAACTATTTGGTAATACTAACGCTGAAACGTTTATCGAGACTCAAACACTCCCGCTGGTGTCTCCTCCACTCAGAAAAAAAGCTGACGCCTTTTCACTGGCATCTCGTAACATTTATAATAAATACATAAATATAACAATCATAATAAGATGCTGTTCAAATAATTAGCAAGCTGTATTTCATTTATTTTAAACTCCACACGGCTCTCCCATGCCAAACTTCTCTCGCTGGCTCTCTCCTCCGCAAACCACGAAATGAAGGAAAAGGGAATATTCACTCAATCTATTTTGAATGTTACACATGACAAGCATTAATATAGTCTAAGCACGTGTAACACCTGTAGCCCGTGTATTTTACCACAGTTGTAGTATTAAAGGTAATGAGGCCCTGCATTAGGCCTCTGCTGTGAGGCCCTAATGTACCTACTCAGTAGCGCGCAATGTTTGCAATTTTGGGTAAGGCCTTCAGATTAGTAAGTAGGCCAATTCGCTTGCAAACTACAAGAGGCTAGCTGGAATTGGGGTTTCAAAGAATATGGCTCCAAACGCACACACGCACGCAACGCAAACGCACACACGCACGCACGCACACGCACTCACGCGCGCACATACTCAAAGCTCATTTATGAAACCTTGCGTAGAAAAAGGTGTACATTTTGGTGTATATCCATATACGCAAAATCCACTGTCGGATTTATGAACATGTGAGATCCGCCCAGATCTGAGCGGACGCAGCTGCGGGTGTTGATAAATCGACTGAATATACGAAAATATTTATGAAAGTCACACCTAGAATTATGCAGCAAATCGCGTGTTCACGCCCCGTCTTTGGACAGTCAGCAGGAAGCCGGCCCTAAAAGACTGTTGAAGCCTCAAAAGGACGTTTGTTGTTCATGTAAAAATAAATATACTCTATTATATTCAGCTGCGTTTTGAACAAATTTGCTAAAATGTTTTGATACCTTAGAAAAATCTCTCTTGAATTGTAGAAGTGAATAAATATAGATTGATTTGAATGAATCACTTCAGAGAGCGTTTGCGGTCCAGATTTCACAATGAAACCTGAGCCTAAATTTCTGCACATGTGGCCGCGAACCTCTCACGGCACTCGCTGCGCTCTGTGGGACAGGGCAGTGAGGACATTTGTGAGTGATGCAATACCAGTCGATGCGTTATTGGTGTGTGTGTCTGTGTGGGATTACACAAAATCTAATGAAATAACACATTCGTTTTACCAGATGTGCATGTGGAATACAAATAGGCGTGCGTAAATACGCAGCGCAGAGCCTGCCACAGCAATAGATGGGTCACACATCCCTGTTTGCGTAAAGTGTATTTAATATAGAGCCTTTTGACTGTCCAGGATCACAAAGCGCTTCATCCATTTTAAAAACATACAGATCAAAATATTACACACACAAGTCAGGATTTTAATGAAGGTTTCATCATGAGCTGTGATGTGTCCTTTCAATCATACGTTTCAGTGTCCAGATTCAGCAATCCAATTCAGTTCCAAATTATGTCCGTCAAGATTCAGAAATCCAGGATTGTCCAAATTAATGTCCAAATTGGTGCAAAGTCCAATTTGTCCAAATGGATGTCCATGGCATAAATATGATCGATGGTGTTGTCCATGGTCTTCAGCAGCTCACAGCAGGCCTGACTGGTATCTGGGGCTGGCTGAGTGTCCAAGTGGTGCTGGTCCAGAAGCATTCTCTTGAGGTTTCTCAGTTTTGGCTTAAAAACAAAAAAACAGCGTTGTGTGTATAAAAATAAGTCTTCTGTTCTCTAATGTTACAGGACAAGGCCCCGCATTCCTTCCACCACCTGAAGAAGGTGACATGTCTGGGGTGATCGCGACTTAAAGTAGACTGAAAGACATGTTTTATGTCGATGGTAGGACACAGCACGAACAAGAACACAGATACAAGAGAGATGCAAGTGTATTATGACAGAGCGGAGCATGGACACCTCCTTTCAGCAGCTTCCAGCAGTGTGCTTGTAGCTTGGCCTTCAAATAGACACAACAGGGGAAAAGTACTGGCTTCTGCACATTGATAGAATGATTGAGTTTAACGTTTAACAAAAGTTGCTTCAAAGTGTTATGAAATCTCCAAATGTCCTGCTTAGTTTTAACACTAGCAAGACCCAAGCGAAATTGGCCCCTGTTTTGAAAAGATGGATAGGTTGGCTGCCAACATTTGCATTATTGATTTGCAAATTGAGGGAAATGAACTTATATCAGCAGGGGCCTGTGGTGGCTTTTGTTTATTCGTGCGGGGGAGGGAGAGCTGCAAAGAGTATCATCTGGCGACCACACTCTGGTTCAATCGGCACAGCCCCTGATTCCAGTCAGGCTGGACTGCTGAGACAGTGGGACAACACCAGCGTCCTCTTTTTGCATGGACATAATTTGGAAAAATTTGATACACAATTTGGACATGTTTTGGAACAATCTGGATTTCTGAATTTGGACTTAATGTTTCGGACTTTTTTATGTTATAGCCCTCCGAAGGGGCTAACGGCATGGCAGCTCACATGCATGACGCGTTTTGCATATTTTGTTAATTATTAGAACAAATGTTTGACCATTTGTTATATAGGGGGGGGGGGGGGGGGGGGGGGGGGGTAAAGGGGGGAGGGTGGGGGGGGTATATAGGGGGGGGGGGGGGGGGGGGTGGGGGGGGGGGGGGGGGGGGGGGGGGGGGGGTATCAGGGCATAAACCTGGTCAAGAATACAGAAATAAACATTGCCACAATTGTCCATTTAAAATTACTGCCTCTAAACTGAACATTGTTATTTGTTAAATAAACATTTAGTGACTTATTTTATCTTGTACACATTGAAACTGTTTGTAAAGCAAATAAACACATTACGCGCATTCACCAGGTACCGCGGCCAACCAACCACAGAAAAACTACTCTACCCAGCATGCCTCGCCGGAGTGCGCCTGCGATATGCGTGCCTCTGCTCTCTCATGTGCAGCACGGACCAAAACAAACAGCGCACACATACAGCGCTCCACACGTGTCTCCGCTACACCCGTGCAGTCTACTGCTGCTACAGTCCACCTGTAATCTGTGTTTATGACCACTTCTCAGTGAGTGCTCTGGCTGCTGTGGCGCTCTCCACTAACTCACCCCCACTACAGCCACACAAAGTGCCGCGGGATGATCCAGCACACACTGACCTAAACACTGCTGGTACATCGCTATGTTACGGCGCTGGGTGTTTTATGAGCTTTGTAACCATACCAACGGCTGTGTGCGTCCCTGGAACGATGGCTTAGGTTTGTCTGTTAATTGCATGTTACAGTCACAGGTGCGTTATGCAGCACTTAAAGATGCGTCACTGCGCCCGCCCAGGAATGATAAATGTGAAGGATCCATGAAAAATAAAATACTACTTTTCCCATACCGTGACTATGCCCGAAGAGAACCTAACACCTCCCACTTTGCCACTGATGTAAATCCAAGGAGGCCATAAACAGTCACATGATCTTTAGTAGAATCCTAGGACCAATCCGTAAGGGCGTTAGCAAATCATAAATCCTAAAGCTACTTAACTAAGAAGGTAGGCCCCACCACCTTGGCATCCTACCGAGTGTAGGTTTGCCCTTGACTCACTCGGCCCACCTCCATGGTGACCCACTAACTAAACACATTAAGTCTTTTGGGCCCCCTGGTGAGGACTTCATACCTTGAGTTGGTCCCTTCTACCGGAATCAGCACGACCAATCTTCGTACATCTCTGCGTAGGACAACAGTAGAGGGCAAGGTACAGTCTTCGTCTATGGGTCCTGGAAACACGGGGGGCAGGAAAGGCCTACGCTGGTGGCGACGTCGACATCTCGTACCACTCCGTCTTGTCCGGATAGTACGACAATCCGAAAACCGGATCCGGAACTGTCCTCGCAGGGCATTCTTGTCAGCGATCCAAGACGAGATTCTCCACTTGACTTTCTTCTGCTCTATGCCACTTGGGCCGAATAATAAAACCAAAGTTTGGTCCGCTAGTTCACTCCACTTAGACCAAAACTTTGTCGACTCCTGCTTGACCGCCCTCAACTGCGCCAAGGGGTGGGTGTCCAAGTTGACCCCCGTGCTTTCTCCAGCTCCGTCCAGTGCGCCCTAGGATGAGGGAGAGCGGAGTCAAGTACTCCATACAGTTTCCTCTTGCTCCTGCGCTCTGGCATCTAATAGTCGTCTCATTGTTAGGTTGCTGCGAGTATCAGCAAAGTTTGGAACTCCCCCCAGGTATAGCAGCTGGTGTTCCGCCGAGGCGATTGAGAGCTCTTTTCATTTAGTTTGACAGCTGCCTCTGCGGCTCCATTTCTGTGGGGCGAGTCAGCGGGTGGAAGACCCACTGCCCATTCAGTTCCATTTTTTGGCTGCAATGTCTCGATTCGACTCTTTCCTGCAGACTGTCCAAGTGCCTGTGAAGGTCTCTTAGTGCAGTTTTGGCACCCACGAAATTTTGTGCCCCTGTCAGACCATAACTTCCATGTTTGTCCTTCAAAGCGGTGAATCTCGAGTACTCCTGAAGAAAGCTCTCAGCCCAGGTTCTCTACGAATATTGCATGGACAGCTCTGGAAGCCATGCAACACAATACCCCAGACCTGGTTTCCAAGTCCGTTTCTTGACCGCATCTCTTTACTTCAAAAGGGAACGCGAAAAGATCCAGCGTGGTAAACTCGAAGGGGTTTGCTCTGTGTGTGCGCTCAAGGGAAGATCGCTCTTTGTTGTTGGCATAGCCTTGCTATCTGCTTCTTGCACGTTAAGCACTCGGTTGATCACCCTCTTGAACTATCCCTTTCGGCCTCTATGATCCTAGGCCTTTCTTCTTGTGCGCATAGTAGTGTAGCAGCACCCCTTCATGATTAGCTTGTGAGCTTCTCGTAGCCAGCAGAGTACCCAACCAGCGATTGGAAAGGTCGCAATTGTTAGGATGATGCTGAAAGAGACGATCGGTGGTGTGCCAAACCTCTGAAGTTTTATTTAAGTTGCGCTCAAGTTCCACCTGGTTTACTCTGTTTTCTTTCCGCAGGTCAGAAATAGGCAGTACACGTTTATATATTCATTGTCACGTCACACATCGAAAGACAGACGTGTCACAATGAGACAGTCACATCATAGGCGCTAACATGGAGTCCCCTTGTAGAGTCCTTGTAACAGTCCTGCACGTAGTGCAAAATTGCTATCTAATACTAAGTACGCCTCCCCTTTGAATCACATAATCACATTGATCACTCAATTTGATCAATCAATAAATTAAAAAAAAAAAAATTCTAAAAAAAAAAAACTTAAAAAAAAATTATTAAAAACAAAAAAATGTATGCATTAAACTCATAATTCATCAAATCAATATCAGCGGATTTTATCCTCTATCCTGGGAAAAAACTAAAAATACAACAACAAATCAAAAAATAAAAACAAACAAAAATAAAAACAAACAAAAACTATTGACACACAAGACACAGGCAGATTCAGGTCAAAACACAGACAAACACGAGCTGAGTCCAAATGTAAAAAGCTAATTGTAACTTTTCTTACTCTATACTTTGTATTCTATAACTAATTGTATAGCACTTCACTTCACTTATTTCACTTTTATCTAGACTGTGTACTTTACTTTTACTATTTCACTATAGTTTAAAAACTATTCTAATCTATTCACAAATAGTTTGCATATTTGCTTCTATTGAGCCATATCTTAAACAACATTTTTAATCTAATAAATCGCGGCTGTGGTATTAATTACTCTCATTATCAGTGGCTATTATCAGTTGGGATTTTGCTCCATGTCTATTCCATTCTCATGAATAAACTGAGGAACACAGTAAGGCAAATTGTCAACATTTACACTTCTAGTAGTGTCAGAGAATTATTACTTTTTTTATCTAAAGATATTATTGTCTAGGCAATTTGGATGAATGAACATCATTAATCAAAATGGAAACTATCCTGTACAAGAGCTAATCTGTTTTTAGCAGGTTTGGGGTTGGGGTCAGTTGATTCTATAAACAATGGTGTTTGTGCTGGAAACTTCTCAATATCTAAGATTATCTACTATTGTGTTTTTGTGCGATGACAACTAATACATCAAAATGCTTTAAATGCTTTTTGATCTCTGTTGGGTTGTAATCTAGTCCATTAATCTAGGGCATAATCTAGACTACACTCATATGGACTTTTGCAATTTGTCCACATCACTCATTTGTGAACACAAGTGAAGTTTGGCAAGTAACTAATGAATACTGTACATAAACTGTAATTAAATTGATTTACTTCTGAAGTAAATGTTTGTGAATGGTCCCTTTACCATTTGATATTAGCACTGGCTACAAATATGTTCTCGTATTTTTGAAAGCATCTATGGTTGATGATGTTGTATCTAAATCATATCTTCACTATTGTGACCCAAAGGCTCGGCTGCAGCTTGAGTCAAGGCATATTTCTAGTTGTGACTTCTGTCACTTTTAATGTCTCTAACATAACTCTGATTCTAATATTCTAGCTGATCTATCAAAGAGGATAACATTGTAGGGTACTATTTAACTCTTATGTGGAAATGATTTATGAAAAACAAAGGAAAGTCAAATTCTACTCTTTTACTACTATTTAACATCTACTAAAACGCTACAATACTCAAACTTTATCATTTTCAAAGTTTTTAACAGTTGCTCAGTCTACCAGACTAAAAAAGTCAAAGTTTTTGTCTGTCAGATGTCTGAATACTTAACATTTATATTGCATTTGGTCACAGTGGTTCTGGTTGTAGCAATAGCATCGGCAATAGACTTTTCATTGGCTGGTTCTTGTTCTGCAAATGGCTGTGTCCAATAGATCATCAGATGTCCAGAAGCTAGGGACAAACAAAAACGAAAAGAAAGAATCATGAGTATCTCTCTCATTTAGCACTCATCAATGTATGATTTTAAAAATATAAACATCACTCCCCAGTTTTCTCTCTCAGGTCCTCAGATCCTCAGATCCTCAGGTCCTCAGGGTCCTCAGAGTCCCCTGAGGGTGAGTCTCAGTCGTCATCAGGTCAGGTCATCTTGGACATCAGTAGGGTCCAAGCCATGGTTCTGGTCACTCCAGATTCATTCTGGTCACTCCAGGTACATCAGATCTCCAGATACAGTCTTTTCAGTTGAAGCACATCAGGTCATTTGCGATGCACTTCTGGTCAATGGTGCAGTGTCTCAGTTCCTGTACACAGCTTGTAATGCAATAGTTACTCTCTATGGTTAAATCACTTTGATTCTACTTTAACACAATTTCTATTCATGCTGTTGCTAATGTCCCTTAGACAAAAGCAAGCGCAGTTATTCAGTTTACTTCTCTAATTTGTGTTTTTATCAGATCTAATTCTAATCAATGTAATTACTTCACACAGTACAAAATCAACAAATCAAAAGTGTCAGGACAGACGTCAATTAAGTCCATGACAATATAGAATTCAAATGAACATTTCTGGTCTCAAAAAATACTGATTCAACTAAAGATTCAAGTGATAGACAATTAAAAATATGTGTTTACATTGGAGTAAACTTTTAAAATGCTTTTTTCTCATGTTCTGCTTTTTCATGTATCTATATGTAAATGTGAATGTGTGAGTGTATGTGTGTATGTGTGTGTGTATGAATTTTGGGGTTGTTTCTCAAGACTCCTCGAACCACCTGTAGGTGTCAAAGGTCACACTGTGGTGATGCAAACCAACTGGACACACTCTCAACTCTCCTTCAGGTCTCTCACCTGATGCTCCACCCATCACGTCTCCAGATACCTCTCTTTCATGGCCCCGGTCTCTCTCACACCCACTCAGTTCTGCAGTGGCGTGGGGAGGGGCAAGGAGGTGGCATTTCCCTTTGCTCTTTGATCTGTGACCTGTGGCTGGGTGGGCTTCGCGCTGTCCAGTGTCCAGCAGTGACCCTGTACAGTGTGTGCTCTTTGTTCTGGAAAACAACCTTATAGTCAAATTAAAAAACAACAGAGATTGTGAATGAGATTGTTTTTCTCTCTGAAGTCTAAACAATTTTGAAGCGCTCTTGGCTTTCCCAAGCGCTATGTAAATAAAGATTACTTATTATCTTACTAATGATGACATTTGAAGACCAGAAACTAAAGAAGTTATCAAAACAACAATTATACTCAAAACAAACAACCTTTTAAACTTTAAAACATGTATTATATACTTTTGTACTGTGTGATTAATTATCTATGCGTCCTTGGGTTTCTTGAAAGACGCCATGAAATGAAATTATGAAAAATCTCTATAAAAATGAACATTAATTTGTAAAAACATTTAAAACAAAACTTGAAATCAAACAAAAGATTTAGCTCCAGCTAAACTGGATTTGGTTCAATAAAACTCAATTGTGCGTCGGAGCTGCCTCCTCATGTCTCTGAGCAGCAGCAAGGTCACGCGTGTAGTCAAAAACAAAAACAAAAGTCACCACTTGAATGTGAATTGGGTGAATTGGGTAGTTTAACTTAATAATATAATACTTTTACAGCCTAATTCTCTCTTTCTTTTTAGACGAAGTCTATAATCAATAATCACTTTTAACACAGATTCTAATTGAAATGTTTGAAAAACGGCTTTTGTAACTAAAATAAAAAATACATGAAAAAATTCTCACAAACAGCTATGAAATATATCAGAGATACAATAATGGACTCACAAAATAAGCAGCAGATTTAAAAAGAAAAGCAAAGCTTTTGTACTAATCTTTGGGTTTCAAAAACATACTAATATTCAAAACTTATTCACTAATGGTGTTTAAAAACGTTTAACTGTGTCATAACACAATGTTCAAATGGCATATTTCGCAAATTTAACGGAATAACAACTATGAAAAGCCAAATTCCTAAAGCAGTAGCTTTGCTTCAGATTCACAGCCAGAGCAGCGAAGGAGGGGGCCGTTTCCCTGACAACGGCAGCAGATAGAGATGTGCACACACAGGCAAAAAGATACAGAAGAAGAACTTTCAAGATTACTTTTTTAAGCAAATATAACTGATGTTGTTCTTTATACTTTTGTCATCGAAGTCTAGAAAGTGATCACTTTCCACACTAGTAACAAAAGGCACTCTTGTCTTTAACGTTTACGCTTCTATTTTATCGAGGTAGCAAACTAGTTTAAACTCAAAATCTCTTTCTAAAAAACAAAAACAACTGTTGGATACAACCCTCTCATAGCTCAACTGTAGATATAACTCTGCATTCTCCGGTGAACTCTGTTCACTCCAAAAACAAAAACTCCCTTTTTCTGTATGTAATTTAAACCGTGATCACTGAAATATTGTTGATTCTTTACTTTTGTCATTTATCAGCCTGAAATTCGTCAATTTCAAAGCTTTTGTAACAAAGGCCTCTTTAACACATTTCCCTTTTTATAATAACTTTTATGTTTACACCATGGTTTCACTTTTGGATCCAACACTTATGGCCTTTACACTTTATGGATCCTATTCACTTTAATGGCCAACACTTTTCACTTTATGGATCCTATTCACTTTAATGGCCAACACTTTTCACTTTATGGATCCTATACACTTTAATGGCCAACACTTTTCACTTTATGGATCCTATTCACTTTAATGGCCTTTTCACTTATTTGAACACAATTTAGAGAGTTCGACAGACCTCAAAAAATTTAGCTAGTATCCAATTATGCAGACTTTACATTTAAAAAGGTGTCTGCTTACCTTATTCTTGTCAAAGAGGTGCGCACGGGCTGTCCGAGAGGTCTGCCAACTCTTTTCCGCGTCGGAATCTTCAATTTAAAAAACAAAAGTGACAGAAGCGACAAGAAGCATCCAGGAACAGCTCTTCCAGTCTGCTGGAATCTCCGCTCCCAGACACAGCATGCCGATCTCTCACGCCGAGGAAAAGAAACAGAGCAAACTCCCCCAAAACAATCCAGAGAATGGCACAAACCGAGCCGCGCATTCTCCACCAAATCTGTTAGGATTAGGCAGACAGAGACGGATCGTGGTGTGCCAAACTCTGGAAGTTTATTTAAGTTTCTCTCAAGTTCCACTGGTTTACTCTGTTTCTTCCTCTCAGACAGAATAAAGGCAGTACACAGTTTATATAGTCATTGTCACGTCACACATCGAAAGACATACGTGTCACAAAGAGACAGTCAAATCATAGTCATAACATGGAGTCCTTGTAGAGTCCTTGTACAGTCCTGCACGTAGGCCATATTGCTATCTAATACTAATAGGACATGTCTTGTTAAAGTATGTAAACGACTTTTTAGTATTATACTTGTGCGCATGTGTGTTACCTTGTGACCTATGTTTCGCGGGTTTTGGTCCTCTATAAATAAATGGGGACCTCACTTTTTGGGGGTCTCCAACTACAATTTGCCTCTTTCTGTGTCTCTCATCCTTCTCCCGTTTGGTACGCTACACTATCATCTGGGAACACCTCAGGATTCCCCCAGATGAGCTGGAGGAGGTGTGTGGAGAGCAAAGTCTGTCTCTGCTCAGGCTGCTGCCCCCACGACCCGTGAACGAATAAAGCGGAAGAAGATAGATGACTGTTTTTGTTTTCCACTTAAAGCTGGAGAACTGAACTTTATACAAACCACCAGACCACGACATGTTGCCAGTGTCTAATCAGAAAACATGTTATATTTGCGTCAGAGAGAGCCCTTTGAGTCACTCTCTGACTCTTTGGGCTGAGACCTGAGATCAGTGAAAACGCTGATCTAAAGATGTGACAGAAACACATACAAACTAGTGTTAGAACAAACTGTTTTAGAGTCAGAAACAGAGACGTGGGTTATTGAACATAATTTCATGTTTTGAGCTTTGAAAGTTCGGAACCCAAGCTTTAAAGGTCAACAGACTCTCGGCACTGACTTTACAGAGAAGAGGAGAGCTCAGATGGATGATGGTCTGCAGTGGATTATCTTCACCAGAGACACTCTTCTCTCACACACATAATTGGATTGACCTCAGTGTGTGAGAGACAGACTACAAACCAAACCGGACAACGGCAAGGTACGTTTATTTATATAGCACAGTTCATACGTACGCAAAGCAATTCAGCTTTATATGATAATAGATCCATGGCTTAATCAGAGACCAGAGAGACCTGGGAGACCACAGCAAGAGAGAGCAGAGAGAGAACCGTACAAAGCCAAAGTAAATAGTGTCTCGCAGGTGTCCAAACTTTCCAACACGTGTCTCGCGGCTGACACACGTTTCATCCGCAGTGACGTCACGAAACGCCTCTCGCGCCTCCTGTCATATAAAGCTCCAGCTCGGGTCATTTTAAACAGGCACAAATCCACCGCTTTTTACGGACTCTACCCACGAAATAAACCACAGCACAGGTACCCCCACACACGCACACGCACACGCACTCACCGCCGCACCCCGTGAACTGCGACCGTTCGCTCCGGGCTCTGCCGGGAATTATCCGATGCTAGCGGCGTTAGCATGTTAGCTCCGCATGTGGACAGTTGACGTCGTTACCATCACTTGAAGCCGCTTTGATAATGAATTACGCACGTTTTAATCGTGTAATTTTTCCGTGGCAACAGACACAATTAGTATGTTTGCTGTCAAGTGATGGTTCATGTCGTGATAATGCAAAATTGGAGGAATGATCGCAAAACTCATAGTACAAGTCACATTATGATGAGTTTTTTATGTCTGGAGTCATAGCGGGAGAGGGAGACCAGGGGGGGAGAGAGAGAGAGAGAGGGAGGGAGGGAGAGAGAGAGAGACACTTAGGTTACATCACTACATGTGATCACGATCTCTTTGTATTATTGATATCTCCATGGCAACAGACACAATTATCGACGCTGTCAAGTGGTGATTCATGTCGTGATAAGGCCATATTAGAGGGAGGATGTTACAACTCATATTACAAGTAATATTATGATGAAGGAGAGAAGAGAGACCAGAAGGAGAGGGGGGAGACCAGAAAGAGGGAGAGACAGACACTTACATCTGTACATGTGATCACAATCAGTTTGCATTATTAGTAAAATGTACTGCTTTGGCTCTATTCAATCACAACACGAGAGAAAAGGAGGAGAGAGACAGAGAGCACAGCGACAGAAAGGAGAGAGTAAAGAGAGGAAGAGGGAGCGAGCGCAAATATTGTAATTGTGTTTGATGCTTGAGTAAAACAACAGTAAAACTCGTATCCAGACTTTAGTGCAGTCAACGTGGGGTTGTCTTTGGATTGCAGCGCGTACGTTTCGTTTTATAGTCTGTGGTGGTTATACAGGGAGGGACTGTGGGGGGCCTGGAGGAGGGATTGTGGGGGGCCTGGAGGAGGGATTGTGGGGGGCCTGGAGGAGGGATTGTGGGGGGCCTGGGGGAGGGACTGTGGGGGGCTGGAGGAGGGACTGTGGGGGGCCTGTAGGAGGGGCTGTGGGGGCCTGGGGGAGGGACTGTGGGGGGCCTATCAAAAGCCTGGAGCCGGGGGCAGATGCAGCAGGTGCTTCTGTTGACTTTGTTCCTCTGGTCCCAGCCCCAAAGTTATTGATTACCTCACTGTTTGTATTGTCTGGATTTGGGTAGATTTCCATTCGCACCCAAGTCTGTGTGTCTCCCTCTCTCTCTGGGTCTCTCTCTCCCTCTCTCTCGCTGTCTCTCTTTGCCTCCTCTCTCTATTTCTCTCTGTGTCTCTCTCTGTGCTTCCTCTCTGTGTCTTTCTCTCCCTCCCTCTTTGTCTGTGTCTCTCTCTGTGTCTCTCTCCTGAAGTATGACATCTTCTCACACACCTGACTGGTTTTATTGACTTATTCTTCAAGCGTTGTGTCGCTCACCGCAGACTTTGAAACGTCTGTTACCTTTGGCTCACACACACACAGCTCCTAATGATCATGTGATGAGAGGCCCCTGGTCTCAATCAGACTGTAAATATCAACGGACGTAGTCATGCCTATCTCCGCCGTTCTAACTAATGTGCCATCACTTTTGCCGTGTATGGGCAGTTTCAAAATGGCTGCTGGGGCTGCAAAATGTGAAAAAACGCATCTGCGCATGCGTCAGCCGGCACGACCCCCATTCATTTAACGAGTGCCTTCTGAAGTCCACGGCGACTAAACTAGACTGGTCTAAAAAAATATACTCCCCTCAGCATCGACACACATGTGAAACGTAGTGTTGGGCCAAGAGCCGAATTTTGGACCATCCTGTAAAGACGTTTTCGAAAAGTAAGACGATGCTATATATTAGCATTGGCTGATTCTTATTCCAAGTCCACCCCCATCGGCCTCGGGTGGTATTGCAAGTACGTCAGCGTGCGTCATTTTGGACATTTTTGAGCCGGGACCCGCCCCCACTGGTCTCAATCTGGTCTGGACTGTTGGATCAGAGGCCCCTGGTCTCAGTCTGGTCTCTGCTGATCTCCACATTCCTTTCACACAAAGCCAGGCCTTTGTGATGTCACACAACTCAGAAGCATTGATTTCTGTGGAGAACGTTTACAGTTTTTTTTTATCTGTTTGTTTGACTGTGTTTATTAAGATAAATAAATGTATATAATTATTCCAATACCTCTTAATACTGTGAATGTACAAAAACAAATATAGTTCTGAGGCTAGATCCCGTCAGACTTCTGAAGCTAAGCAAGGCAGGGCCTGGTTAGCACTGTAATGGGAGACCTCTGGGAACACCAGGTTCCACAGTGGGGCGGCTGTAAAGTGCCAAACTGTGGTTGTGTCCTTAGGCAAGACACTTCCCCCACATTGCCTTGAACAGGGAGTCAGACCAGTTCCTCAAAGGGCAGGTGTGGCTGCAGGGTTAGTTTCAACCCATTTCCTCAAATCTTCTGGTTAAAACTCATGAACAGTAATGGAATAATGCCATGTGAATCCTAGACATGTGTCTAAAAAGCGTTGTATAAAACTTTATTATTATTATTATTACATGGGAGGAGACATTGAGTTGTGTCCAAACGCGCAAAGAATCCTGAGCAGTATCATGGGCATGTGATAAATGGTAATGGACCGAGGAGTGAACCTTGTGGGACACAAAGTGATGTAGTGGCTACCCAGCTCAAGAATGTACCTTTTTTGGGATGAAGAAAGTCCTATAGTATAATCTAATGTGTTTTAATGTTGAATGTGTTTCTGCTGTTGTGTTGGCAGCTCTGCACTATGAGGCGTGTGATCTCCCCCCTCAGCCGCGCTCTCCCCCGTCTGCTCCACTCCGGCTCCAAACTCACTTCCTCCAGCACCGCCTCCAAACTGAAACCTGGCAACCTCTCCTCAGAAGAAATCTTCAGCAGAGAGGAGAAGTATGGCGCCCACAACTACCACCCACTGCCTGTGGCTCTGGAGCGAGGAGAAGGTGAGTGAGAGAAAGAACAGAGAGAGGGAAACCAGAGAGGGTTTTAAATTGTGGAAATATGACAAAACATGGAAGTACAACACTGACATTTAGTGTTTCAATTTAGGTTTCTCAGTTAGTTTAGAGTAGACTAAAGACCACTGTGTCCATTAACAAATCATTATATTCTTTTTGTATTTTTTACTGCAGTAATTGAAATGTTGAACACTTAAATACAACTTAAAACTGGCAACCCAAATGTACCTCATTCTGCGTTTGTTAGGATAAATACAGTACAGCAACCTAGAACCAGGACCAAGAGAGTAGAGCTTTTTTGAGGCTTGTTTTTAAAGTTATAAGGCATCTAGGTGTGCGACATCACATGACCCTCTGACACATGACCTCTGACTGCTGCAGGCATCTACGTGTGGGACGTGGAGGGGAACCGTTACTATGACTTCCTGAGTGCGTACAGCGCGGTGAACCAGGGCCATTGTCACCCCAAGATTGTGTCTGCGCTGACGTCCCAGGCCTCGCGCCTCACCCTCACCTCCAGAGCCTTCTACAACGACGTGCTCGGCGCCTACGAGGAGTACGTCACCCGCCTCTTCCAATACGACAAGGTGCTGCCCATGAACACAGGTCAGAGGTCATCTGTGTGCTAACGTGTGACATCACAGGGTCGCAAAGAGCGAGTGTTTATGAACCTCCCGCCCCCTATGGACCACTGTGTTTGTATTGCATTTCCTGTGTTGTCTGATTCTCTGATTTGTTGTGATGAAACCACAACTTTGTAAAGTTCTCTGAGACGACTGCTGGGTGATTTAAGGTGCTACACAAATAAATTGAACTGAATATTGACTTGTTTGTGCTTCCAGGCGTCGAAGCCGGAGAAACTGCATGTAAACTGGCTCGTAAATGGGCCTACACCGTGAAGGGCGTCCCCAAGAACCAGGCCAAGATTGTGTTTGCCAGTGAGTCATTTGGTTCACATTGAGACCAGGCCAGAGCGCGAGAGGGAGGCCAGGCCAGAGCGCGAGAGGGAGGCCAGGCCAGAGCGCGAGAGGGAGGCCAGGCCAGAGCGCGAGAGGGAGGCCAGGCCAGGGAGCGCGAGCGCGAGGGAGGCCAGGCCAGAGCGCGAGAGGGAGGCCAGGCCAGAGCGCGAGAGGGAGGGCCAGGCCAGAGCGCGAGAGGAGAGGCCAGGCCAGGAGCGCGAGAGGGAGGCCAGGCCAGAGCGCGAGAGGGAGGCCAGGCCAGAGCGCGAGAGGGAGGCCAGGCCAGAGCGCGAGAGGGAGGCCAGGCCAGAGAGCGCGAGAGGGAGGCCAGGCCAGAGCGCGAGAGGGAGGCCAGGCCAGAGCGCGAGAGGGAGGCCAGGCCAGAGCGCGAGAGGGAGGCCAGGCCAGAGCGCGAGAGGGAGACCAGGCCAGAGCGCGAGAGGGCGACATTTTGGTTCTGTTCCTAAGCCTTCATCACAGCTGTCAATCACCGCCTCCTCATTTAAAGGGGATGTTAATGATGCCTTATCTGTTCTCAGACGGTAACTTCTGGGGGAGGACCATGGCGGCCATCTCCAGCTCCACAGACCCAAGCAGCTACGAGGGCTTCGGCCCCTTCATGCCCGGCTTTGAACTCATCCCCTACAATGACCTGCCAGCGCTGGAGGTACACGCCCATGACCACAACCTGCACCTTCACCACACACACTTAACCCACATTCCACAAACACTCCCTGTGTTGATCTGTGTTGAAGGACTGTGTAGACGCTGTGCCACGAGGGAATGTAAAATAAAAATTTGAAAATGTATTAATAATTATCTAATTTATGATTAAAAAAAACTTTGCAAGAGACCAGTGTTTGTGGCGTTTTGGAGCATCCATCGTAAATTATAGCATCTTAACCAAAGTGTCAATCCCAGAGGAAATGCGTAAAGAAAAGAGGACTGGACCCAGAATGGATCTTTGGGGGACTCTGCTGGAATAAGGACATTTGCTGAACAAAAAGCACCAGAAACACAGTCTGCTGTCTGTCTGCTGGTCTCTGCTGCAAAAACTATTAAAGATTTTTGTGTGCAGGAGGCTTTCCAAGACCCCAACGTGGCGGCCTATATGATGGAGCCGATCCAGGGGGAGGCCGGCGTGGTGGTCCCAGACCCCGGCTACCTGACCAAAGTCCGAGAGCTCTGCACCAAACACAACGTGAGACTGGAATAAGACCTCATGTTTAGTCCTGAAGACTCTGGATCATCACTTTGACTCGTTGGTGGTTGTTAAACGTGTTCCGAATGTTCAAATTACAACATAATCAATGAGCTGTTAATGCAAGGCAGCCCAGGAATGTACAGGAACTGGAGGCTAAGAAGATTGTGTGGGTCGAGGTTGAGGGTTCGAATCCTCCTAACGTTAGAGAAAACATGCAAGGCAAGTTTATTTGTATAGCACAATTTCGTGCACAAGGCAACTCAAAGTGCTGAACGAAACAAGATGGCATTAAAATCATAAATAATCACAGAACATTAAAAATAAAAATCCATCCATCCATTTTCTTCCCCTTAATCCATTTCTGGGTCGGTGGGGTGGCAGTCAGAGCTGCACCCAGTACACAGAGCACCAGCCCCTCACTGATCCTCCTGCAGGTGGTGAGTCCACAGGAGCTGAGATCTTTAAGCGGGGGCTTCAGGCAAAGTGGGGTTAAGTGTCTTGCCCAAGGACACAACGACTGCACTCATCAGTGGGAGTCGTGAAGTAGGTCTTATGGTGGGCTTGAACCCACAACCTTCAGGCCCAAAGGCCAATGCTCTACCAACTGAGCTACTGTCGCCCCAATAAAAATAAAAATATAAAATCCCTCAGTTGTCTGCAGCTAAACAAAACTGTTTTTAACCTGGATTTAAACATTGTCAGAGAGGAGGCCTGTCTCACACTTCATGACGATTGTTCCAGATTTTAGCTGCATGAGTCTGAAATGAAGCCTCCCCATGTTTAGTCCTGACTCTGGGCACTAACAGGAGTCTCGTCCCTGTGAACTTATTTATGGTGTCACACAATCAGCAACAATGAGTTTAATTTCTCAGAATTTACTTTTCTCTAATTGTTTGAGCCATCAGCTCTGTGTGAAGGAAGACGGTATTATGAATCATCAACAAAGTGGACAACTATCGTGTGTGTGTGTGTGTGTGTGTGAGACCACAGGTGTTGTGGATCGCAGATGAGGTTCAGACCGGTTTGGCTCGCACCGGGCGCCGTTTGGCGGTGGACCATGAAAACGTGCGGCCCGACATTGTGACACTGGGGAAGGCTCTGTCTGGAGGAGTTTACCCGGTGAGAAAACAGACACTAACCCAGGACTAACCAAAACACACACTAACAAAGGGCATGTTTTACTTTCTTTTCTCCTTGTTACATCTTCCTCAGTCACACACCTGGAGTTGTTTTTTTTTATCCCTCCACGCTGATTACTGGAACACGTGCGCACGCACATACTTTTCAGATTAGATTAAAAGATCATTTATTCATCCCACAGTGGGGAAATGGCAGTGTTGCATGACATTTACAGAACAGTAGGAATGAGTATACAGATAAATGAAAAATAATAATTAATAATATTCATTAGTAATTATTATTCATTTATCGCTATTATAAAATAAACTGTATAAAATCTCTCTAGCATTATTAGTAAAAAGTCTAAAATCTCCAACTCTAGCATGATGAAGAGGCAAGACTTATGTACAAAAACACCTGACTTTAGCAAGAAGCAAGTATAAAGTACTATGTTTACATCTGTACATGTTAGCATCATGAGGCTCTGGGACAGTGACTCAGTAAAATGACGGTGACTTACGCACAAGCACATGATCAGAGTCAGAGTGTCAGGTTATGTGGGAGCTGTCCGTTGCTCAGCTGAGTGAGCTGAGGCAGAACCACTGTGACCTGGACACACTGTTCCTCACTGACGACCACAACAACTTTCTACAGCTCCACACTGCACTGACCAGGGGCCGCACAGAGGGGCCAGCTCTCTGCCTCTGAGTTTAGTTCAGCTTTTAATAACAGAACCAAGAAGAATGCACAAGGAAACGAGGCCCCGATCCACACACCAGTCTCTGCTTCACTGTCAGCAGCTGAACCCAGGAGCAGAGAGGAGTTCTTAAGATATTCTACAGACTTCACATAAACACATGTGGCTGTTTCTGTCTGATGGAAACAGAAGAGTGACACAAGTGTGACGAGTCGCTGTTACTGGGAGGTGAAGTGGAGCGGGGAACAAGCTCGTATTGCAGTGTCATACAGAGATTTTCAGAGTTAAGACTGATGAATGTAAATTTCCATCCATCCATCCATTTTCTACCTCTTAATCCATTTCTGGATCTGGGTTTGGCAGTAAGAGATGCCACCCAAGTCACATAGCACCAGCCCCTCACTAATCCTCTGCAGGTGGTGAGTCTACAGGAGGGTCTTCGGGCAAAGTGGGGTTAAGTGTCTTGCCAAAAGGACACAACGACAGCAGATCAGTGGGAGTCGGTGGAGAAGGTGTCGAGGTGGGATCGAACCCACGACCTTCAGGCCTAAAGGCCAATGCTCTACCAACTGAGCTACTGTCGCCCCCAAATGTAGATTTGTAAACTATGATAAATCCTGGGCCTTAGTCTTTCAAAACCTGTGCTTCATTCATGTTTAACTCAGTCCAGTCGATCGGGTTTTCCTGGATCACAGTGCAGGGGTTCTGTTCTTTTACGATGTCTCTGAAAACATCAGGCTGATTTTTAGCTAAAGTTATTATAGATGTATAGTTTGTCTATTGAGCTTATTTCTAAGTATAGTTATAGGAGTCAAATATGTGTTCTCCTTTGTGTAATGGGCGCTTGTATACACCAGGTGGTGCTCTAATCTTTACAAGATTTCTGAGGGGTTAGCAGTGTTGGGCACGTTACTTTGAAAAAGTAATTAGTTATAGTTACTAGTTACTTCTCCCAAAAAGTAACTCAGTTACTCCACTATAAAAGTAACTAGTTACCAGTAAAAGTAACTATTGCGTTACTTTTTCGTTTTGTTCTGGAACATAATGTGCACTCGACGTGTGCATTTTTACCTTTAACCTCAGTGAGTCAGAAATAGTGCCAATATTTCCATCTAGAAAAAGTCTGTTTTGCTGCTGAAGTCCTGTTCACTCTTCATCTCTCTCTGTTCTGTAAGCACTAAACACAAACACCCACCACTGTGAATGTGGAAACACCGGTGAAGCACTGACTTCAGCCCAATCAGATGAACATATATATCATATCAAGTGGACAATTTGTTTGGCTACAGCAGAATATGTTTCATGCCCGCATTGTTTTTTCCTTCAAAACGCAAAACTATGAGTTATGGGTCTTACCTTATAAATGACTTGCACAGGCCACTTCGGTTCAGACCAGTTCCGTGTTTAAGTCCAGATAATAGTTTGAGCGTAGATATGTAATCCTCCATTTGGAAATGAGTCCAATGAGTTTTAAAAAGTAAAATAAAACGCGTGTGTCCTCCATAAACTCCTCTGTTTTGCTGCAGCCGGGTGCATCCAATTTCTAAAATCAACCCTCTTACACTTCACCTCTCTTTCTTATCATTCCTATAGTCATTGAAAAATTACCCTAAGTGCATTTTAAATTATCTTAAAATGTGTTACATGTATGTTAGCCAAACCTGTTGCTGTCCTTAGCAGATAAACCAGGAAGAGAAAGGAGCTTATCGATGGAATTGTAGGCAACCGACTTCTGCGCTCACATGCGCTCCTCTGCGGCCTCACGGTGATACAAGCCGTGGTTGAGCGCGATTAAGACCCATATTTGTTTCAAAAACACAATTTATGAGCCATCGTCTCAACTGTAGACATGTAGATTGTAAAGGAAATATGTTTTACATCAGCCAATTATTGTTGAGAGGTTTTATCATCCTCCCTTCTCTCATGACAACACGCACGAGTCCTATCACGAAGTAAAAAGAGAAGTTCATTGTGCGTCTTGAGTAACACGCAGTAACGGGATGTCGGAAATGTTAACGGCGTTATAGTTACAGTCAAAGTAATTGGTTAGATTACTCGTTACTGAAAAAAATAACGGCGTTAGTAACGTCGTTATTCCCATCACTGGGGGTTAGCACAGGTGATCTTGACTGACTGTGAATCCTTTTATTTCCCTGTGAAATTAATCAATCTCAGTTGCAAAGAACGTTTCTTAAGCATTTGGATTTTGACTGAGCACAACAGAGCAGCAGGCACAGCGTAGCCGCTTGGCACGTGCTAACAGGCCTGGGTGTATTCACATTAGCGTTGCCACTGTTGTCAAAAATACCCTTTGACGGACGTGTTCAAAGTTGATGCAGAAGTAAGACAAAAGATTCCAAGTTTAACATCTGTATTTAATTTATCCTTACAATCAGATACAGAAATTCAAACAAAAGAGCTCCTATACTATGCTATTCTGTCTATGTCCCTCGCTGCTGACTGTCCCAAGACCTTCAGGGAGGTTAAATGTAGGAGACTTCCGGTGACGTCATCCATATGCGCCCAAGGGTTTTCCATCCGGGTGTGCTGGCGTCCCTTGTCCACTGGGAGGCGTCAGAATGCCGTTGGTGAATTCCCTTTCCGCCTGATTGTGAGGGACTTTGCTCTCGTCAGCAGATAATATTTATTATCTAAAGTTAATAATTCGCCTTGTTCAAAGGCGTAATCTTTTTATGATTCCTGTCCGCTTATCCTGTGTCCTTGTGACTTAAGACCTGAGGGCACAGGTCTTTTTTGGCTATGATTAAAATTAGAGTTCAAATGGTCAAATATTGTCACATCTGTTTAGTGTATATTTAAAATATACAACACCACACAAGCAAAACGCGAGTCAAAGCGCTTTACAATTCTAGTGTATCATTAATTTCAATTCTCTCCACACAGTGACAACACACCATGTATTTTAGTGGTAGGGGAAACTGGAGTACATGGAGAAAACCTGCCCAGACACAGGGAGAACATGCAAACTTCGCTCAGGACAATCTTGCTGTGAAACAAGAGAAATTGGCAATAGTAATTGTTTTTAAAGTGTGATGTCATAGTGGTACAATGAAAGAAAAAAAATTCCAGGACTGAGACTGGAGCTTTTAGACAGAAGGGGCGGAGCTACATGTTTGTCCTATCTGATGTTGGACGTGGATGGAGCTATAACCAACTCCAGGTCAATGTCAGGACATGGAGAACAGAGAGGAAGAAGTGGACTTCTTTTTTGCATATACAGATATTGTAAACTCTGTATTTCTTCCTCACTGAACTGGAGCTAAGTGGTCCTGTGTCGCCCCCTGCAGGTATCTGCGGTGCTGTGCGACGATGAGATTATGTTGACCATTAAACCCGGAGAACACGGCTCCACGTACGGAGGAAACCCTGTGGCGTGTCGGGTTGCCATCGCCGCCCTGGAAGTGAGTCCCACCAACTCCACTGCTGCCCGCCAGGACTGTTTTTATTGCTATGCTAATGTAAAGTCTCCATATGCTAATCAACCAGAGTGAAAACACGTACCTCATTTTCAATATTATTCTCTCAAACAACCATCTATTTTACTCTAATTTGGCTCAAAGGTAATTGGTAACACACTGGCCCCTGGTTTATGACGGGGGAGATGTGTTCTCCAAAAAACACCCAATAAATCCTCTTAGTAGCAGCTGTATGTTTTAAGGCTGAGAGGAGAGGGTGAGGCCGGAGAGGGTGAGGCCGGAGAGGGTGAGGCCGGAGAGGGTGAATGTTTAGGGTTTTTCTCTGTGCAGACTGTTTACACCTAATGCAAGGGAATGAGTAATCAGAGGCCAGTGTTTGAAGGGTTGGCGAGTCTTTAGTTCAGTCCTAATCGTTGGTGTTGTCTGCGGCAGGTGTTGGAGGAGGAGCGTCTGGCGGAAAACGCGGAGGCCATGGGTCACCTCCTGCGCTCCGAGCTCAACAAACTTCCCAAAGACATCGTGAGCGTGGTGCGGGGGAAGGGCCTGCTGAACGCCATCGTCATCAAAGAGACCAAAGGTAAGGAAGTTAAAGGGCACGTACCATGCCTGTTTAACCAAAAGGGGGATCTTTGTTACATCCGCATGCGCCTCTCGCTGGGTGGCAAGAAGACGGTACATACAAAAGCATGGAAGCAACGAGTACTCTTAAAAGACTTAGTTGGCGAAATGCACTTTATATAAGCACTTTTCCAAAGAACTTCGGGAAAAAAACTTTATCTGGTACAACCATAGACTGTAAAAATTAACGGACAGAGTCACGCCTATCTCTGCCGTTCTAAATAATGGGCCAAAATGGCCGCGAGTGGTCCCGCCCATAAGAAAATTGTGAAAAAACGCATCTGCGCATGCGTCAGCATTGACACACATGTGGAACGGAGCTTTGGGCCAAGAGCCAACTTTTAAACCATCCTGTACAGACATTTTCGAGAGGTCTGCCAATGCTGTTAGCCAATATGTTAGCATTGGCTAATTCTAATCCAGCGCACATCATTTTGGCCACTTTTAAGCCGGGACCCGCCCCCACTGAGTACAACTGACCAAACGACAAAAGTGGACCATTTGATTTATATTAGTAAAACCTCTCAACGTCTAAAACTGGCTAATTCTCTAGCATACAGGTAGCTTTTGCTGCTGTTTAGCCACCCAGTCACGTGACGGGCGTGGAAAAACTATAAACAATGTCACTCAAAGATCCTCATACACAGCAGGCGGGAGGCCACTTTGAGATATCGGTGCATTGTGGGCTGGACTCGTTACAAATGTAATTAAAAGTCATTGCCTGCCAGCCTATTTCAGAAAAGGTACTCTCATATTGCCAGCCGTTTCTGATGGTTTTTTGATTTTTCAAGATTATCTGAAATCCTGAATTCTGAAAGAATGGACTGCCTACTTTCATCAGCAAAGAGAATTTTGTTTCTAGCTTGATTCGTTCCCCTGTAATCCCCAGTTGAGTAGAGGGAAGTTTTACTGAAATCACCAGTCTCTGACAAAAAGCTGAGAAAAAAAGTGCATCCTGTTTTCAAAACATACAGACGCAGCGCTGCTGCCTCCTGCTGGCTCGATAAAATATGCTCTAAAGCAAATCCCCATACATATTAGATAGAATAGGCATCTGGGAGCATGAAAATAGCAGAAAACGCAATAGACGCATTAATACGTCAATGACACACAACGTTACTATTTGCTTTGACGTTAAAAGGGATCCTCATGAGAACAACATATTAAGTGTGCTCTACTTCTGCAACAAAGCAGTGTTTGTGTCTGCTAAAAAACTGGATACAATATTGATTTTAAAATGTTGAATATTTTAACCATTTTAATATGTGCAAAGCATTTAATCAATTTTTTGTTCATAAAAACATATTTTGCAAACTGTAATTTTTATTTTATTATTGATCCATGTCTTGACATGAATAACAATTGATCATCAATAAGTGCAATGTTAAAGCATCAGTAGTGTGAGTGTTAGAACTGGGCCCAAAAGCCAATGTTTCCAGAATGGAATGATGACTTTGATCTCCTCTTGTTCTATTGAAGATTACGACGCATGGAAGGTGTGTCTGCGTCTCCGTGACAACGGGCTCCTGGCCAAACCCACTCACGGCGACATCATCCGCTTCGCCCCGCCCCTCACCATCACCGAGCCGGAGCTGCAGGACTGCGTCGACGTCATCACCCGCAGCATACTCTCCTTCTAGAACCCCCGCACCTCCTTCTAGAACCCCCGCGCCTCCTTCTAGAACCCTGCACCTCCTTCTCGAGCCCCACGCATCCTTTTAGAACTCTGTTCCTCCTTCTAGAACTCCCCACACCTCCTGTCTCCTTTTAGAACCCTTCCCCACCTCCTTCTAGAACCCGCAACCTCCTATCTCCCTTTAGAACCCTGAAAAAAGGTCAGTCAATCTGACGTTGTGTGAGCGATCCAAAATGAGAGCGGATCCAGGTTTTCACATGTTGCAGTTGTTTTGTTTTATTCAAATTTGAGTCTGTCTGAGCCGAGATCTGTGGAGAGACTCCACTGATCAATCAGTTTCAAAAATGTCATCTTAATTAACTATCTAGTCTCTCTGATCATTCTTTCTCTCTTGCTGGTCTCTCTCTCTCTCTGGTCTCTCTGGCTGGTCTCTCTCGCTGGTCTCTTTCTCTCTCTCTCTCCAAAATGTGCGCTCATCAGAGCAGAGTTTTTGGCACAAAAGTGTGAATTTATAGAAAACGGATGGATTTCAAAATGGTGAACAGGCCAGAGGCCTGTTCTGACGTCTCTTGCCTGAGGCTGCAGCAGAACATGTCACTAATATATTATTTTCTAATTTAAAAATGACAGAATGTTGTGCCTTGGAGATGACTCTGGATTTGTGAAGGTCTCAGTTTTCCCCAAACCTGTTACAGCTCAAACACTGATGTAATTTATTAAAAGTGATTTATTACAATATTTAATGATTGTTGTGACCTGCTGAGATGCTGTTGATACTTCTCCATGTCTCTAAAACTGTACAGTGTGTTTCTGTTGTGAATGTCTTTGTAAAGACACAAATAAAGTTATTTTAGATTGAACGGCTGGGTTTATCCTCCACATGCTGTTACATATAGTGAGGCTGAAGTTTCTCTACTCTCTCTGGTCTCAAGCCTCTCTGAAAACCTGGTTTTTCCATAACACACCTGTTTAAACTAGTGACAGCAGCAAACTGTCTTATAGTTTTTAAAAAATGAGACTGAAAAAAAACTCTTGACTTTTTAACTTATGGATGTGGACAAGTTTAAGGTTTCAGTCCAAGTTTAAGAACGCAAACAGGCTTCTTATTGTGGCTCAAGTTTCTGCTCCTATAGACAGGAGATCAGAGACCAGGTTGAGACCGGGGCTAGACCCAGACTATGGACCACTGTGAGACCGGATTCAAAAGCTGCCAGCTTCAGGAACTCAATCCTCCTGACATTTGTACAGAAATCTATCTGATAAAACAGGACAGAAGCCGCAGCAGAGAGAGACTAGTGTTGAGACCAGCCCATGTAGCTGCTTCTTCAGATAATATTGCAGTCTACAACACAAAACGCTAAAGTAAATATTCTGATTGTTAAACACACAGCAGTACAATCAGGAGCCGTCGGTAAAGACAAATACCAGAAGCACCATTGCACACACGGTTGCTCCTTGTCCACGTTTGGAAAAGCTTCACAAAATTAATCACTGGCTGCAGCACTCTTCATCTTTGAACTGTCACATACATTTTATGACTTTCTTTACACAAGGACAGAGGCAGAGAGACTCCAGAGACCAGAGGAGAGACCAGAGAGAGACCAGAGACTAGAGGAGTGACAAAAGAGTTGAGAAAGAGGCCAGCTAGAGCTTCAAGTTTTCTTTTGACTTTAAACAAAGGTTACTGTCATGGTACACTAGTGATGGTTATATGTTGTTGGAGTAAACACACAGTGCATTAGAAGCACACTATAAAAAAGGCAAACAAACAATTCACTGATATTTAATGGTCTTTGATATGAACCGGATCAAAGTCATTTAAAAGTTGGAATCTTGAATTCTCGATTTGTTCTGTTTTGACCTTGTCAGTCTGAGACCGTGTGAACGTCTCTCTGTGTGAAGTCACATGTACAGGTCAACTTCACACTTTCACTTCTGAAGGGAACAATAACCTAATTCCAAAAGGTTATGCTACGTTTATTTCAACTAATTTTTTTTGTGTATGAGCAGTCGTCTAAGGACTGTTCAAAATTGCCATTGGTCCATAGGGAGCGGGACTGAGGCTGTAGATTCAGGACTGAGGCTGTAGATCCAGGACTGAGGCTGTAGGTCCAGGACTGAGGCTGTAGGTCCAGGACTGAGGCTGTAGACCCAGGACTGAGGCTGTAGATTCAGGACTGAGGCTGTAGACCCAGGACTGAGGCTGTAGATCCAGGACTGAGGCAGTAGATCCAGGACTGAGGCTGTGGATCCAGGACTGAGGCTGTAGATCCAGGACTGAGGCTGTAGATCCAGAACTGAGGCTGTAGATCCAGGACTGGGGCAAAACTCCAGCTTGCCTTAGAAACAGTCTTAGCAACACGTCTGCCTCTGCTGCGGTGTGAAGCTAACGCCGTGGAATAAAGGCCCATATAAGAACATTGGCTCCAGCTAGCTGAAGTCTGGCTTCTTCTTCTTGGGCTCAGGTCACTCCTCGTAGACGCTCTGTGGTCAGGACCCAAAGAGGATCTGTGTTTAAGGTTAAACAATCATCCAGAACCAGGAGTAAGTGAAGCTCGTCTCTTTGTTGATTGTTTGAAAAAGAATCCAGTTTGTCCCTCGGAGCATCGGTCTGTTCAGGTGAGCTCTTCACTCTTAGTGGGAAATAGTAACGAGAATTATTTGGTTTATTCTCAATCATTTTTAGTAAATCCTAATTGTATTCCATTAAACTTACAGGGTAAATACAAGGTCCATTCTAACTATGGTCTTCATAAAAAAAAATCTGTATCGTTATGTAATTATGTTTATGAAATTACCTCCATCTTGGACAGGTCCTGGACTGGTCATGGACTAGCCCGGACAGGTCCTTGACTGATATTTGGTCTTTGGAATCAGCTACCCATTGAGATCAGACAGACTCAGTCTCTGCCTGTTTTTAAGTCACTAAACTCAACTTTTTTCACTTGCTTTTGATAATGTTTGATTTTAGGTAATATTGTTTTGTTTTATATATGTATTTTTTAGTCTATGTGTTTGTTTTTGTGTACAGCACTGAACTGTAAAGTTTTTAAAGTGCTTTATAAATAAAGCTGGTATGGTCATGGACTGGTTCAAATCCACCACTCAAACACGTCTCATATGTGGTGGAATAATGAATCACACATAATCAATAAATCACAATATATTTTCAAATAAAACTACAATAAAATAAATTCAATCCCAAAAATAAAACTAGAGTTGAATGAATGTTCAGCTGTTGAATTCCAGGGGGCGTGTGTTTTTGTGTCTGATCTGGATCCGATTTGAAAGTGTCACAAGTGTTGGAGACCTACAGTATATAGTTATAACTTGATGTAATAGGAATGTAAATACAAAAGACACTTGAGAACACTGCATTTAATCAGATTAGACAATCATGGTAAATGACCAATCAGATTTAAACATTTATTATCAGCTTCCTCCGTGGTCTGGGCTGGCACCCCCCCCCGAGCGGTGCAAGCCGACCGTGTCCATGCTGGACAGGTATTAAGCTTATGCATCATAGGTCGTTGCTTTAGCTAGAAACATTACTAGCTGACCGCTCTGCCACCCCGCACCGTTCAGAGCCCGCTGTGCGCTCCCCATGCCTTCGCCTCTCTTGGGGGGGGGGCTACTCGTTCGGCTACTCCCTAGCCCCCCGCACTTTCTACAAGTGTGTGGAGGTACAGGATCACTTCTACGTCATGGTGCTACGTCCCTTAGGACTTCGCTAGTGGGATATCACTCGTGACCCCCAGGTCACACGCCAGAGAGATCAAAATAATTTGCTCCAATCACCAGCCACCTTCCTCTATAAATGCCCCTGCACAAGGCCGCACCCCCTCTTTCACTCTGGCGCCGTTCGAGATCTACCACAGTACTTACTTCATTCTGAGATGTCTTCCTTTTCGTCCGAGTTCCCTTCGCCCTCCGGCGTCGGACGTCGTCGCTGGATCCAGACGGTGGAGGACTTCACCTCTGTGGGTGCCACCACTCGAGGGAGGAGGAGGATACAGCCCACGTTGTGCCCGCGGATGGACCCGTTCGTCCATTACGCGACACGTGAGTGGCCTAAGCCCCTAGCAGCCAAGAGGCCTGCTCTGGGGTACGACATGTACTGCAGCGGGCAGGACTGGTCCTGGACCGGTGGTGTCCCGGACATCGAGGATTCAGTTCGCATGGCCCTGCAGCCTTCCGCATCCGTGTGGCCCGGCACCAGACCTCTCCTTCCCTCCGAGCGGGACAGGATGTCTTGGCGATGCTGGATAGATGTTATGCCAATGCAGCACAGGTCCTCGCATTGACTGACAACATGGCATTCATCACGGGGGCCCTGGATATGTCGCTCTCTTCTGGCCAGGCGCTCAGTGGAGACCTCCTGTCACAGGCAAGGACCACCTCGGCGGCGACTCTGCGCATGTGCCAGACGCTAGCTGTGGATGGTGGCCGCTCCATGGCAGCAGCCCAAGTCGGGGCCAGGCACCTTTGGCTTGGGCTGGCTAATATCAGGGAGGCGGAGAGGAGGCAGCTGCTGGACCTGCCTATCTCCCAGACGTCTCTTTTCGGTCCGGAGATGCAGACCCTGGTGGCTAGACTGGAGACCGCAGCCAAGGACTCGGCTAGCATAGCCCAGCACCTAGCGCCGAGGCGCGAGGCCCGCCCACCAGCGCGGAGCCGAGACAGAGGCAGGGAGCGTTCGCCCGGGAGGCGCCCTGGTCCATATCCACGCTCCGTGGCTTATCGTCCCCCCCCGACGAGGCCCCCGGGCCCAGACAGGCACACGGGAGGCTCGCGGGACCAACGCACCCACCGACGACCTCCCTATGGCAGAGGAGGTCGGGGTGGGAAGAATTCTTTCAATAAAAGCCGTCCGGCATTTCATCAGTACTTGCTGTCTGAGTCTCATTTGGGGGTATGTAACATGTCAAATGATCTGAATTCTGATTGTGTTACTTCTCGAGCACATAACGTGGCTTCGCTAGGCCTGCAGCCCCCAGAGAAGGG